ATGCTCAGGGACTCAAGAGCCCGCGAACTGTAATCGCATTTTTTCACGGCAACGAACCGATCATCAAAGTAATTGCAAACGGAGGGCGACACCTTCAGCAAATTACAGTGAAATGTCGCTCGTTAAACGGCTAACACGCCTCTGTTGCCGGCTTTCGTCGGCTTTTGGGTTGCGCTTTGACCCCCCGGGCGCCAAACTTTAAGTCGGATATACCACTCAATTTGATATATACCTCACCGGGAGACATGCAATAGCATTCCTACATTGTTAAAAAAAATCGTACACTTCTCGGAGAGAAGAAGAAAAACTAATTTGAGGTTAGATTTTCTAAACAACAAATTTCCAGAATGGCCGGTAACTGCATGGTTTCAAAACTAATTAACTACCTGAGTAGTATGGCTGTTGAAAAGTAAAACACCATGAGAAAATACAACGAAGTTTGTCTAGTTTGTCTAAAGGTTGTCGTGGAAAAAATTTAAACAAGACAAAAAATAGGTTTCATGGAGTAACTTTAAACAAAAAAAAGATCAATTTGAAACAGATTAAGTACTGACGATTTCTTCTATTTAATAAAGTTTTTATCATTATTATAAGTTTATTAGATGGCAATCTACAACTATGTGTTTCGTTGACATTTTCTTTAAAACCACGCGACGTTAGACCGAAAATGAGATTAGGATGAAAGCCTCACGTTAAAAATTCAGGTATAAACATTGAGTACTGAACACCGATTGGTTCATCTGGAAGTGGCTTTGTTTGTTTCAACACAAGTGTGGGCCGTTACGCTCTTTGCTTCAACAGCTGTTTCCCAGACCACGCGTTTGACAGAAAGGAGTCCTCGTCCTTTCAATCAAAGTTTCAATTCGGATTCAACGTGAAAAATCCCAGAAGATCCATGAGCTAACTCAATTTTTTTTTTCCAAATGCTTCAAAATGCCTCGAATGCACCTCTTTGTGAACATTTCAGAAATTGGTAGACACTTGTTTTCCAAGTTTTTCTGCAGCCACTCATAAATTCAAGAGAGAAATGTTTGACAGGTTCAGTGGCTAAATTCGAATTTCGTGTTTGACTAGCTTTCAGATCTCTCAGGAGGCGCTTTGCTCACCTCCAGCTATATGACAGCAAAGAGGAAGAGGAGGCACTTGACGAGCCGACACAAATTATATGTAATCATTTTCATTTCTTGAATTACTAATATTGAAATACTAATTTAGAGGCTAGACAAACAGGGTCAGAAGAAGAACAATTAGATAAAAAGGTGCAATTCATTTTTAGTATTTTAGAGTACTTTTTAAAATACTTTCGTTTCATTGATTTACAAGAAATTGTAAGTTTTCGAATTGACTGACGACGTGGAAAAATGGCTCCTTATCTATTATTAGCTCTTTGGAATGTTGAAGTAATTTTGTTGTATTGGTTCATTCCGAATCAATATTGTGATGGTAGATCCTAATTATGTTTCTCAGTTTTCAGCAGCAAGTCTTTCTTCCCCTTGTGAAGTAGGTATATCCGGGTTTCAAAAATTGGATTTTTTTCATTTTTGGTGAAAAATTTCGAAGTTTAGAGTTTCTTTATATTTTCCAAGTTTAGGATTTGGACCTAGGCGTTTCTACACAATTATTTCATTCTGTCCTTTATAATCATAGCAGTTTTGATTAGAGATAATAGATAAACCTATTTTTTATCACCTCATGTTAATTCATTTTTATTTTAGTAGATGATCATGATGATCCCGTTGCAGCATTAGATGAGCTACTCGCAGGAATGAAAGAAAACTTCAAGAAGTTGAGACCATCTAAAGTAAGAAATGCCTTAGCCCAACTTAGGCAGTTAGTGCAAAATTTGACACTGGGAAAAAAGTCGCTTAGATCTAGAGTTCAGACTCTTGAAAACATTGACAAGAAAAAATACTCTTGATTCAGTCGGATTTTTGCTTAAATCAAAAGGAAATCCGCTCAAATTAGGAGGCTTGGTTCTTGATTTAAGCAAAAACCTGATTGAATCAAAAGTATTTTTTCTTGCCGATGTTTTAAAGAGTCTGGACTCTAGATCCAAGCGGGTTTTTTTTCCAGTGGAGTATTGGCAATATTGTAAAGTGATATCCTGCTGTTAGCGTAACCAATTAGAGTAAAACTAAATTGTCTTTCAGTCAAAATCTGAATTTTTTTTGGCATAACCGAACTTCTCAAAGTGAGGCAGAAAAAAAATCGACACAGTTGTATGGGCCAAAGAGCCATTAACGGATGGGACGATTTAGCAGCCTAGCTGTTCAATACTTCACACTGCATGCGTACGATTTTGTTTGGCCTCGCAGCCAATACTGTGAAACGGAAAAGGTTTTCTTTCTTTTCTTAAGATTTCCATTGGCAGTGGATCTTTCGTTCCGCAAACCGATTTGTGAAAGCATAGAAACTTCACATTTTAATAGGGACTGTGTGACTTTTAGATTTTGTAATGATCGCTAAGGATGTGATATTTTTAACTGCACATCAGAGTTTCTTACACGACATTTTTTTAATGACAAAAATTTTATATTTTTGTTCTTTGAGTTTTTTTTGAGTTGGAAGGGCTTCAAAACTGAAGAATTCTTCAAAACTAACTGTTGAAATTGATGAAAATTACCGGCCATGAAAATACCTGTCGCAACGCATTTTCGTAGAATTGTTGATGAAGATGGGCGGCGCTTTCCTTCGGCTAAAATTATGGAATAACTAACACCAAATTGAGCACTCAGTTACACTCAGAGACAATATACTTCATCAGAGCAATGCACTCTGACAGAGAATCATGACGATATAAAAGATAGCGCAAAATGGATGCCACGGTGACTGACGGACAACGGACTCTCGTAAAGATGCTCGACGGAAATTCGCCCGATGTTTATTGAAACATGTTCGCCGAAAACTAGATCACTCGAGTCGTATAAGGTGGATCTCTCTTCGTGGATACATCACTCAACTCCAGAAATAAAATTGAAGAGCACAACATGGAAAAAGGAAAAGACGCAAGTTGCAGAAAAAACAATCCACGTCTGGACAGCTCGCAAAAATGCAGATGGGACACTCCTCACACCGTGTTAGACGGGCCTGGTCATAATTGATTATAAATTTCTTCGAATTCGGCGAAATGAAGATTTATTTGGACGGCAGCAGAGGTTTGAAAAAATCTACTAGAAAATCTCAGGAGAAAAATATTTGAAATACACTGCTCCTAAATTGTCCATTAAGTTGCGTCTTTGCCTAAAAAACTTTACCAAAAACGCAGATTCGACATCATTCTTCATTGGTCTCATTTCTATTACAAGAATCATTACTTTAGGGTATTGAGTAATTCTCGAATGCATTGTGCGGATAGCTGCAGAATGATAGCATTATAATCTTGGTAAATTTTGGTCATATGTGTAAGGTGTCAATCCGAGAAAACTAGGCACAGGTGAAGAGGTCAAAGGACAACCGGTTTTGACGATGGAAAATCCTTTGGCAAGAGAGCGACGAGAGTCAGCTGAAGCAAACTTAAGGCTCATTTGCATTACATCCGTATTGGGCTTGAATTAATTGAAGAGATCCACCGAATAATTTAAATAATTAAAAGTTATTAGCAGCTATTAGAGCTAAGTGCCGGATCCGCGCAGTCTCCGAGGTCCAGCGCGCGTTACGTTTGCTCGCGGTTGGGATTCCTCTCACTTTCGAAGTAAGTCTTATTTAACGAACAAAGTAACGTTCGCAATTTAAACCTTGTTCATTTCATTGGAGATTTCTTTATCGATTGAAACAGTTATTATTAAGTTGTTGCGGATGCGCCAGGAATTGTATTTCTCAAGTACAAAATGAAGTTCTGCTTGGTTTTCTCTGGCGTTTTATTCCTAATATGCAGCAAAGCAACAAACTACCTACGAACCTTCCCTGGAAATATATAAAAAAAAATCATTCTCACAAAATTGTAAGTTAGGCTGTTACTGGCTTCTCTGTCGAGAAAATAACCTAATGGAAGCTTGAACAACGTCTGATGGAGTCAGACTGATTGATTCTTGTTGAATGCAATATTTTAATTACACCTTTTGAAATATTTGGAGATTGAGATACGTAGAAAATCTAACATCAAATTCGCGATTATATAAAAAGGGTTTCTGAATGGTGACAGATATCATGTATTTATTAATTCTTTCTACCGCGTACCAAAAAGATTCTTAAGGCAACTGAGATGGATTTCTGGCGAAGATCAGCCAGAATCTCGAGGAGAGATCACGTAAGGAACGAAAGGGGCCGTGAGATCATGAACGCCGAGCAGAACATTGTGCATGAAATTATGACCGAACAGCTTGTCTGATATGGTCATGTTCAACGAATGGCAGATGATAGGTTGCCTAAGAAGGTACTAGATTGGGTTCCTCCTGGGAGAAGACCTAGGGGACGCCCAGCAAAATCGTGGATTGGTGGCATTCAAGATGAAATCACAAGATGCCATTTACCAGATGACCTCTGGATCCATAGGCAAGGATGGCGATTAGGTGTCGCAGAGCGCCCGGGCGCGCTGTAAAGCGACTTGAATGTATGTTTGTATTGATTCTGTCTTTCTCCCCCCCCCCCNCCAAATAAATCATGCAGGATGGAGAAAGAAATCGTTTTCCGGCCTCTTCACGAGGAAGCGTTGAAGGAAAGGCAAAATATGTAGGGGAAATTACGTCATTCCGCACAGCCTGCGGTGGTGAGCAGGTTACCTAACTGTTAAAATTCGGTATTGATCAAGGGGATGGAGAGGTCAGCAGCCTGGTTGTAAAAATTGATGTCGGAACAACACAAATAGAAAATCGATGTATTACACTGCGAAGAGAGGGCTATGATTGTATTATCTTGCACACAAGGCTACCTAGTTAAAGTTCCAATAATCAGGCTGCAGGAGCTTGCAGGAGCAATGCAATCGGATATGCTATCTTTCGGGAAAGAGTCTATTAGCAATGTGCATAAAAAGTGCCGTGAAGACGGCATGCAGTCAAACTCACCATAAATGACGAGAGAATTGATGACGGCGCGAAGGGTCAGCATCTCCGAGGACTTGTAACTCGCGCTGCCCGAAATTGATGTGAAGGAGATGAAGAGAAAAACGTTCGCAGTCGGTAATGGAAAACGAGCTTTCAAACACGCCAAATTATCGTTTGAAGTGTATCACATGATAAAAAATTTAAAAACGGGACTATTGCATACCTTTGTCACGGTTACTTTGATAAGCATTTACGAAAAAGCGATATTAAAAAAAAAGATTGAAAAAAAAAACAGACCACAAAACTTGGGACAGTGCCGAGAGAAAATTTTCACTTCCTAAAAAGACGAAACAGACAATTCTGTACAAAAATTAACATAACTTCAACACTAAGTTTTGGAGTTATAGATCATGGAGTTTGATAGAGATTAGAAAGTAACAGTGAAAAATCTTGGGGGTTTGACTATTCAATGACGAGTGCAAGTCGGGGAACATTAGCTTCTACTCAAAAGCTTCACTTCAAAATATTGTCTTGGGAATTTCACAAATCACTGTGAAAAGTAATAAACCCAGGAGGCAGGCATTAGCGGACCGATCACTAAGACACGACTCCGTAAGCATATACAAACAATTAGAGTTAAGAGCGAGATATTCCCGAACGTCTGAAAACACCTAATCTGATTATTTAAAGATCTTCCGCTGTCTACGATGTACAGTGAACAGAATTATCCGCTAACATTAAAGGAAAGCGCTCGCGGAAAACTCAACGTGGATGATTTCCGACCGCTGAGATGGAAGTTTTTCTTCACCACAACACAGGATTTAGGGGGTCCTTTAATTTTTACAATGAAAAATATTTATTTGTTCTGATAGTCTCTTTAACGAATGACAAGGAACATTTCAAAATGGAGAGACCGGATCCTGGTACCCGCGACGATGACTCCGGGAAAGAGGTAGCGATCTCGTGGCGAGCACGTGGGTTTCGAGGTTAGGAGCGACGCGCAACATTCCGACAGAACCCGCGCTGGAGGAGTGCGGTCGACGAACCGCCCCCGGCCCCGTCGCGTCGGGCTGGTTGTCGCCCCCCGACGCATGCGCCCGGGAGCCCCGCGGGATCAAGCACCCCCGGCTCGCGACAGTGTGTCTGGAGCCTCTATCCCGCTCCAACGGGTCACTCTTCCCCGACGCTTGCTCCACAAAGTCCTCGCCGAAAGACGAGAGGAGGAACGCCGTACACGGAAAAAAAACTTCGTGCATGGGACCCCAAGTTGAGGTCATACGGATCCCTCAAGTTTTCTCATCACGCATCCGAAAACTTGAGGTCGCGCTGCCCAAGTTCGGGTCAGATATCGAGGCACTTGGGTATGTGCCGGAGTACTTCGGATGTGTGACCCGAACCCTTCGGCTGTATATCCAAGTACTATAGATGTCTGACCCGAACTTCGGCACCTGGACCTCAATTTTATAGATACGTGATCCGAAAAATTCAGAGATTCATATGACCTCAACTGCGGGTCCCACGAACGAAACGTTCTTCTCCGTGTATGAATATTTGAGAGTTGCTAAATTTCCTTCGATAAAATGTTCATATTTAAGGAAAGTTATGAATAATTTTCCTTGACATTTTCAGGAACCTTAGAAGAAATTGCGAGGAAAAGTATCTGAAAAATTGGAAAGAAAATTTTCAGAAGTTTACCAGGAAAGAAGTGTTTTACCAAAGGAAATTTAGCGACGCCTGGAGGTTTATACGGCGTTTTTCCTTAGTTGGTTAACCACAAGTGAGATGAAAGTACATGGTGATTGCATTCTTCGACTAGCAAGGGATGATTATTCAGAACTTTGTACCTTAAAAATCAAACTGTTAACAGCAAATATTTCTGTCAAGTGTTGAAACAGCTTCAAAAACACATCACGAAGAAACGCCTAGATATGAAGGACTCTTGGATTCTGCACGGAGAAAATGCGCGCCCGCAAACAGCTAACGAGAGACTCAGGAGTTCATGAAGAAAAGGGGCATTGTGACCATCCCCCACCCCCCGTAG